CTCAAAATTCGTAATTGGCGGTACTAAAAAGGGAAAATAAAAATTGAAACCAGCAAAAAACAATTTCCTTATTATCATTGCAATTCATTTAACATGTAAATCAATGGGCTGTCTTAGATTAATTAACCTTCTATATAAATAGGTTTTAATTTTGCTAATGGAAAAATATTAAAATCAAAATTTACATAGAAACATAGAATGTGATGGCAGATAAGAACCATTCGGCCCATCTAGTCTGCCCAATTTTCTAAATACTTTCATTAGTCCCTGGCCTTATCTTATAGTTAGGATAGCCTTATGCCTATCCCACGCATGCTTAAACTCCTTTACCGTGTTAACCTCTACCACTTCAGCTGGAAGGCTGTTCCATGCATCCACTACCCTCTCAGTAAAGTAATACTTCCTGATATTATTTTTTAAACCTTTGTCCCTCTAATTTAAGACTATGTCCTCTTGTTGTGGTAGTTTTTCTTCTTTTAAATATAGTCTCCTCCTTTACTGTGTTGATTGCCTTTATGTATTTAAATGTTTCTATCATATCCCCCCTGTCTCGTCTTTCCTCCAAGCTATACATGTTAAGATCCTTTAACCTTTCCTGGTAAGTTTTATCCCGCAATCCATGAACCAGTTTAGTAGCCCTTCTCTGAACCCTCTCTAAGGTATCAATATCCTTCTGAAGATACGGTCTCAGTACTGTGTACAATACTCCAAGTGAGGTCTCACCAGTGTTCTGTACAATGGCATGAGCACTTCCCTCTTTCTACTGCTAATACCTCTCCCTATACAACCAAGCATTCTGCTAGCATTTCCTGCTGCTCTATTACATTGTCTGCCTACCTTTAAGTCATCAGAAATAATCACCCCTAAATCCCTTCCTCATATGTTGAGGTTATTCGGGTATCAAATACTCTATACTCTGCTCTTGGGTTTTTATGCCCAAGATGAATTATCTTGCACTTATCCACATTAAATGTCAGCTCTGAACAATTTGTTGACTAAAAATAAACTTTTAGAGACTAATACAGCTGTCCCTCCATACTCATTGCCAGGGAAATAAGTAGAAATCACCAGGCCCTAGTGCAAAGATCAAAGAAGGGCCCCTATTACCTCTCCTTGCTCCCCCTTAGTAAAACACCTGAGTGGGATGTGTGTGACTGGTGGCTGAGTGTGATTGTGCGAGTGTTGGCTGAGTGTGATTTTATGTTGGGCTTGGCTGAGTGTGATATGTATGGGTAGAGTTAGCGGAGTGTGATTGCGTGTGTGTGTTTGTCTCGCTGAGTGTGACTGTACATGGGGTTTGATTGTGTGTGAATGTAATTGTCCCTGCTTGGGTTCATTTCCTTAAGCAGGGCAATCCCCCGTGCTGACGATAACATGCTTGCTTCACTGCCAGCACACTGGCGTCAGTGCATCTCATACTCCCCCAGCAAGCGCCTATTACTCAATCTATGAAAATAGAGCAAGAGGACTGCCTGTCACTCAAACTATGGCACTAGACCTGGTGTGCCACTAGCACACCAGATCTAATGTTCAGAATTTCATTGACAGGTATGGGAGGGACCATATTTTTAAAGAGCTTTAAATTAAAACCTATACATGTACAATGTACACATGGAATGGAATGCTCTTTAATATACACATTTCGCATATACAATTTAAAATAATACACATTTATTAATAATACATGCACATGTGTATATATATACTGTGTATATGCACATGCATATATACACATGTACACACATATATGCATTTTACTACAAATCACATGAAGTGAGTGAAACTATTTTTTTTTCATTAAACACTTTCATCCTTTTAAGCACACAGTTACTGACCCATACATACACTCATTGGCACACAGAGTGTTTGACCAACATACACTTTCACTGACAGACACATGCATTCTCACTGACAGGCACACACTCACATACACTCACTGATAGACATACACTTACTGACAAACATGCTCACTGACAGACACACATTGACATACACTCAATATTACACATTCACTGACAGACACACACTGTCATACCCTTGACAGAGACTCACAGACACACACTGATAGACTGATAAGAACTCTTGCTGACAGACATTCTCACTGATTTGACACACTCATACACATACACATTCTCCCACACACTCACTTTTATTTATATATATATATTTTTAATTTTTATTTAGCCCATCCAGCTGTCATACTTACCCCATTGGCTCAATGTGAATCCTTTCCCTGGGGACCAATGGGAATCCTGTCCCTGTGGACCAGTGTGTAATCTGACAGCCAGACACCTCCTGGAGGCCCTAAGGTGGCCATTCAGCTAGCTCATGGTCCCACTGTAACAGACGAAACACAGAGGGCCCTGTCGCACTGCTGACCTTAGTAATCCTGTACTTCTACCATTGTTCATGACTGGTATTGCATTCTGTAGAGGAGAGCAGTGATAGCAGTGCTTCTTCTCCGCTGGTTACTCCAACAGCTACTCAGGAGCAAACAGGGAAGGGATTATCCTTGTGACAGAACCATCCGTCTCACTATTGTGGTGGATTCGTCTGTTTCCTGCACTTTCGTGTAAATGGCTGTTTTCTATAGCCCAGCCATACGAATGACTATTTTTTCGCCGAACAAAGCTACTGAACGGATGGCCACCCAGGAGAGAAGTGTGCTGCTGGTTAACCTATTGATCCCAATTAGAACATTGTGGTTAACCGCAGACACTTCTCAATTAAACCGAATTCAGGGTGGCCGTCGTTCGTATGTCGCCCACGAGGCAGCGGCCATTTTAAAACACACGAAAGCCCAGCGGTGTTCGGCTCTATTTTCATGGAACTAAAAACAGACATTTTTTCTGCCGAACACCGCTGAAACAACGGGACGCCTGGCTGCCTCCACGAAAACGTACGAACACCGGCCGTTCGGGAGTTTTACAGCACATAAAAGACTTTAACCCAGATAGCCCTCCCATGGAGTCAATCGCACACCGAAAGACTGTAAGAACTTTGACTCCATGGCGATTGAACTATGTGTGTGGGATCTGGGCGCTATTCGCCAATAATATGCACTCAGATCCAGGCTATCTGGGGATATGTGATGCGAATGAGAAATGTTCGGTTATTTTCAAATTATGTATTTTTATGTGTTTTCTGCTTTTATATCTAAGATGGCGATTTGTCTTTGTCCTGGAGATAATTGAATTACTTCTCAATTATCTCCAGGGCAGAGGGGAGGAGACCATATTGCATTGTGGGAAAAGCTTGTGACTGTATGTCTGTTATGTCCTCATGTCCATCTGTAATTACAGTCTCCCATTTGGTCCCCTAGGGGAGCGTCCACCAAGTGGGAGACCTGCATAAATACGGGCAGGTAGCCCACAGTAAATGCAGATCCTGTTTGACCCTCAATGCGGAGATTCTGTCTCGTTATTGGGGGGATTCTTATTGCGCTTAGAGACTGATTTATGGAACCGAGAGCCGCTCGGTGGATATCGTTGTTCGGTGGTTAGCAGCGGTTTGTGGATTTCCGTTCGGGAGTTTGGAGCCTTCTCACGGATCACGGTCGGGAGATTACCTTTTCCCCTGGTTATGGTTCGTGTAATACAATTGATGCGAATGGATTATTGATATTGCGAAAGGGGAAGGTGAACTAAACGGCGGTTTCTCTTAAAGACACCAGAGGTGTCTTCACAATCCTGTTTTGTGTAGGAGTATTATGGGCATTTTTGACTATGTCTAAATTGTATAAAAGCAGGCTATCTGACCAGATTAAAGCATTCCAGCTTGTACTCCCAGAACTATGTGTCGTCTGGTTACTGGGAGGGATAGGGATAATCACTACTTCAGCTTGTTCCAGTGTGGAGGATTCAACAGTTAAAGTCCTTGTAAAGATTAGAGCTCCCAGGACTGAGTGTTGTCCAATGCCTGGGGGTGAATAGAGCAAGTTCCCCATTGGGCTCCAGGAGGGAGTGATTCAAAGACCCCAGTCAAGCTACGTCGACTGTGTGTAGAAGTGCTGCGGTTTGTCCCTGTTCTAGCTAGGAAGTGGTACCCAGCCAGCTCCATTACAAAGAGCAATGCTAAAGTAGGTATAGTATCCTTCACTAAAAGATGGTTAAGGCGTATCTGGGATTTGCCGGTCAATCGGAGCATTGGTTGATGTTCCTGGACTTCCTGAAAATCAGGGTTATCCATAATGGTGATATACCTGGAGACAATGACCAAATAGACCTATATTTTCTCCATATTTTGAGCGTGTTTGTAATTAAAGGGTGTAAAAATGGACAAAGCCTATGAATATTAGTAGTCAACCAGGGCATAACATACAATGGGGTTGCGGCAAAACTCTGTTCAATTGAGTACCAGGATTTCTTATATTCTATTTTGGTCCATTCCCGTAATCTGACCAGTACTGCAGCTATATAATACTGCTGTATATTAGATATCCCAGTCCCCCCTTGTAGGTGCTTCTAGTTAATATATGATAGGCAATTCTTGGGTGTTTATGCCCCTACCCCCCAATTATATGTAATAAAAAGGGCTTTGAGTTTTGCAAAAAAGTATCGTGGAACATAAAAGGCAATGTCTGCAACATGTATATAGTAGTCTAGGAAGATGTCAGGATTCTGTCCTGACAACCAAGAATTATGTTTCTTTTATTTCTGTTTCTTTAAAACATGTTCCAGTTTTTTCTCCACTAGTGGCCTCCCTAACCACTTCTCTAAACAAAGATTCTATCACCCGCCTAACATAATCATTTCAACCTGCTCTAAGAGGTTACACTCTGCTAGGTAAAGTTTATATCCTGACTGGGGCTTATTGTATAAACCCTCTAATTCAAAACCCACTTTATACTTACCTGTAACTTTTTTTTATAGGTTGTAATTGTTCCCTCTGTCCTATAACTTCATGTATAGGCTTTATTTAGTATTTGACCTGTTTTTAGGCTTATTTCCTATCCCTCTATTTTGTATTCTCCTTTTTGCTTTCAATTCCCTTTTAGTCCGGCTACGCTTATTGTTTTAAGCAAAACATGTCTAAGAATTCTAATAAAGAACCTAAAGTTAACCTCAGATTGAGTCTCATATCTGACCTAAGCAGAAGCATGACAAAAGAGTCATCATTTTTAAAATGTTAACACGACCCGTCAAGGTAAAATAAGGCAGGTTCCATTTGGAGAGGTCCAATTTAAAAGCCTTTGAATAGAATTAAAAAAAAAAGCTACTTAATATTCAAGCCCTTGATCTTGTACAACTAACTAGGGGAACTTTTTACTTGCATGGAAATAAATGCTGTAAAACATTGGTAAAGGCACTTAAACATAAACGCCATGCAGCTTATATAGCAAAAATAACAGACAGCGCAGGTATATCACATTTTACTACAGATCATATAGCTCAAACATTTCACTCTTACTACCAGACTCTTTACAATCTTCCACAAAAGTCGATATCACAAAACCTAGTCATTGATTATCTCAGAACTAGCCTGACGCATAAGATACCAGCAGACAAAGTTACTATTATGGAGGAACCTTTCACTAACTTAGCATTTACCAAGGCACTGAACTCAAGCCCAACTGGGAAAAGCCAGAGCCTGATGGTCTAACGAATCTAGATTCTTTTTGTTAAAGAAACACTAAAAATGTTAAAAGAAAAAGAAAAGTATATTGAATCAATGCTTTCTTATGGGTGATTGGAAGATGCTGGACTTTCCCGTGCAAAGTTTGTATGGAGTTTTCATGTCCTTTATCAGGTATAACGATAAAGGCATCATGCTAAAATAATGCAATGTATTATAAATCGTTAGGTTGATACTTACAGGTGGGTATTGTGGATGTACAGTTGTCTTCATTGCAGCAGGTGGTGCTCAGTCTGACTGCACTTGTATTTGACACATATGTTGCAGATTTATCACACTGACTCTTTTCAATACAGGTTCGGTATGTATCACTAGAGGCTGCAAACAAATACAGAAAGGAAGTCAGGATTCAGTCTGCTCTTTGTTTATAAAATTTGGAAACTACTAAATATTTTTCTGAACCAACAGCTTAAAATCCAATACTATAACATTCAAAGAGCAAATCCATTCTGTGACTGTTCTGTTTAGTTTAAAGCTAACTTGGAGAGGTGGGACAGAGAGAAGTGGACAGCATTCTGAACCTATTGTTCTAGGAATTGGCTTCCCTGCCACCCCATTAAATCTTTTGTAATTGTTCCCCAATTCTGTAAACATTGACCTCTATTTATACAATGTGTTTTCCTATTTTCTGTCACTCCACTAATTCAAGTAGACTTATTAATGATATAAAATTGGATAACAAGGTGTTACTTACAACCATAACTATCTGTAGATACGGTAGCACAGGCATGAGTAGTGAAATCACAGCTCCTAGTTGTATTTTCAGTGCATGTTCCCTCTTTAACTGTGCATGTTAGACATGTTCCAGAGAACACTGGGAAAAGAAAAAAAAACCAAAAAGTCAAAATTAAATTACTCATCACCAAATTAAAAATGTCAGTAGAGCATGTAATAAAATAGATATCATGCTTAATAACCTCTAATCATTGTTCTGAACACGTAATGATCAAACCGACCTCAGCACCAATTGTAGGACCTCACCTGGTCTTTCCATCAAGGACAGATTAATGGCTGAGCTAAAGAAATATTGTCCCAAGGACCTAATGTGTACTCAGAACCCAAATGTATTTATTTTTTTCTTATGTTTTTAATAATATGTTAACATGGATATGATGTTTTGCACCAGTGTTTAGTTAAACGATTTCACTGAGCTTATGCACTATTATGGTTATTCTCACGTTTTTCTCGTTGGAACACTTTTACTTTACAGCTGTCCCAGTAGTGACATATTGGAGCTAACACTCTGTAGCAGGCTAGTCTCGGACACAGGTGTTTCTGTGCTTTTACGATTCTGATCTCCTGATGTCTGGGAAGCATGAAGATGTAGAGTAAGCAAAGGTTTTTTGTTTTGGTTTTTTAATGTTTTTTTTAATTGAATGTATTTTATATGGTATATATGCAATAATATTAGGGGTGAGCGAGGGAGGTCTTGAAAAAGGACGAAATGGAATCCAAAACATTGACAGAGCTCCCTGCTCAATTTGAAGCAGCGGTGCAAGGAGTAGGTCTTCCCAGTTTACCATCAAGCCACACGAAAGAGAGGGAAGGACAATAGAAAGGAGGGAGAGCCTGGACCAGACTCCCATAAGACTCAGCCAGATGTCACTGGACCCCAGGGCAGCCACCCTCCTGCACCAAAAAAGTATGGAAGCAGTGGAAGTGGCTAACAACATGTTAATTATCTGTGTGTGTATATGTTATATATGTGTGTATGTGTAATCTGTGTGTATCTGTGTGTGCATATATGTTACATCTGTGTGTATGTGTTATCTGTGTTTGTATGTGTTAGCTGTGAGTGCATATATGTTATCTCTGTGTGTATGTGTTAGCTGTGTGTATATGTATTATCTACGTGTATGTGTGTCAGTGTGTTTACATGTCGACGTATGTGTGTGTGTATTAATCTGTGTCTGTGTGTGTGTATTAATCTGTGTCTGCATGTGTCAGTACGTATCTGTGTGTGTGTATGAGTAAGTGTGTATGTGAATATGTGTCAGTGTGTGTATCTGTGTGTTTCAGTGTGCATGTGCATGCATCTCAGCAATCAAACGCCAACCATACATACAAACACATTCAAACATTAACACTAAACACAAGTACACTATTGCTTTCAAATAGCAATTGTAGATGCAAACATGCAACTGCATTCAAATGCCGACACTACACACAAATACATACATACATTTAAACATACAAAACATGCTTACATTCAAACAAACACTGCTTACAAATACAGCTCTGCAAAGATGGGCACTTGGTAGATCCGCAGCTGGAAAAGCATTGTTGGAGTTGTACTACAGATGGGGATCTACCTTTTAGCCCACAAAAAAATTTGCACCCTCTCTAAATTAGTTGTGTCACTGTGTTTAGTAGATAACTACCTTGTTTGCTATCGTTATGTGAGATTGCATAGTTAAGGATAGTTAAGGATAAATTAGCGAACTATCTAGAAAACAACACCCTCATTTGGTACCCCTTAATTTGTCGATCACAAGTGAGAGTGCCAAATTAGTAAACAGTTGTGTTTATGAGATAGCTCCCTAATTTTGTATCCTTATTTATGGCGTTAAGGTTAACGAGTGAGGGAGCTATCTACTAAACAACTCCCTAATTTTGTCAATTACATATAAGGGTACCAAAATACGGAGCTGTTGTGTTTAGTAGATAGCTCTATAATTTGGTACCCTTACTTATGGCATTCCCATAAAGACCAAAATTAGGAAAATCACTTTTTCTGAATGTAGCTGTTTGAGTTGCTTAATACGTAAGTTCCTAATTTACTATCCTTATAAAATCAAACGGATCTCAAATTATTTGTTTCTTTTCCTTCCAATTTTGCTTGCTTTCAGTTTGTTACATTTTATAAAGAATGCAGAAATGTGTCCGCTTTCAAATTGCCGAATTCAGATGCAATAGGATTTGGAACTAAATGACTTGCAGATGTCTACTGGCTCGACATAGTTTTTATAATGTGTGCATCCAAGATACCGACATAGTGAATAATTGGCAGAACTCTGGTGTCTGTCAAATTGTGGACATCTCCTGTGCAATAGGCTGATGTAGAATCTATATAACTTATATATTACAACTAAAAAAGGTTATTTTACAATTGAAGAATGGGTTGCCAAGATGATACAGTAAGAAATGTCCCCTTCAAAAAAAGTCTTCTGTACTTCATCTTGCAAACCACTGTATATCGGAATTATGATACCTTGTTACATTCAAGATAAAACTGATCCACGCCACTAATTTAAACTATAACATTTAGATGCCCACTAACCCCAAATTCTTTCTTAAAAGCCCTTAACTTACCTGGAGCCAAAAGAGTTGACAAAAAACAAGCAACAAGTAGAGTACTCATTGTGTCCACAGGATGTTAGTCCAGAATGTAAGTGCTGTGTGCTGTGTATCTCGTGCATTGTCTTTTATATAGGAGTAAATTCTCTCATAAAATCTGTATAAAGAACAACCAGCGAGAGTCATTTATGGAGTGACTTTTCTAACATGCATGCAATGCAAAAACTAAGGAAATAATAAAGGTTTGAATGTTGCACTCTTAATGATACATAATATAAATAAAAACACAACAACTTCTAACATTTGGCAAATGGCCGTGACTTTTATTACGGATTTCACAATTCTTATTTAATATCCATAGTCATAATAATAATAATAATAATAATAAACATAACTTAAAATCAAACCAAATAACCATTAACCATTTCCAGGCTCTGCCCCATAAAGCCAGGAGCCATAAATATATATTTTCCAACCAAATCCACCCTCCTTTGATGCCCAGGAGGGTGACTTATATCCCAACGCCACTGAGGTTCTGGAAAACCAAACTCGGTGTTCCCCCCCCCCCAAAGCCCATCTCCACCATAGAGGGAATCAAACAAATTAAATATGTCTAATCCTATGTCTGACAAATGAATTGCATTGCACCTATAACCTGCACATGCCCTCAATATCACTATGCCTATATGAACGCAACCCTAACGCTGGCAAAAACTTCTCTAGAGCTCTATTTAACTTTCTGCTTATAGCTTATTTACAATAGCTTATTTTAAGCCATCAATGTCTTGCAATTATCTCTGACCAAATAAAGCGCACCACTGGAAAAATTTGTGCAACAAAAACCAAATTGTTCTTAATTTCTTGTAATAAGTTCACTGATTTTTTTAGCTCCAATGTCGTTACCCCCTAAATAAACTATAATTAAATCTGGATAAGGAAAAGGCGATAAACATTGTTGCAACATTTCCAATAACTGTGACCACGTGACACCATGGGTGCCTTTCCAAAATATTTTTACTAAAATATTTTTCAATCCAAGATTCTCTCCATATGTATGCTCCTGTGCCCTCTACTGGGCCTATACCACAAAAGAGAGACCAATAACCCAGGCAATTGCCAGCTTCTTATTTCCTAACAGAAAGAAAATATTAATATAGACCTCCATTGCATGAAAAAAACAATCATTATGAACCAATTACCACTTACACATGACATTCCTTGATCACAAACTCCCCCCCCCCCTTTTTTTAATATAAAAAATGAGGTCTGACATACAACTGGAATCTCACAATCTTAAACAAATTTTAACTCAAAGTTTTTTAGATAAAGAAAAAATAGAGATAGGTGACAACTTTCTAAAGGGAAGTAAAGGGTTCCATTTTTGTGGTACCTGTAGAGGTTGTTCTTTTAGACTAAACAAAAGTAAGAAAATTACAAAATTCATATCCTCTGCTACTAAAAGAGAATACCAGATCAAGTCTTTTTTAACATGTTCAAGTAAAGATGTGATTTATATGGTAACGTGCCCATGCGGATTTCAATATATTGGTAAAACTACACGTAGTCTAAAAATCCGAATTAGGGAACACATATATAATATCCAACGAAAATTTATTAATCATAGTGTCTCTAGTCACTTTTTACAAGTCCATAATGGGGATCCCAAAGGTATTGAGTTTATAGGTATTGACCAAATCAAAATCCATTGGAGAGGGGGTAATAAGGAGTACATTTTGGGATTAGCAGAGATGAAGTGGATGTTTGAACTTGACACGATGACACCACGAGGACTTAATGTTGATTTTGAGATTAATAAATATGTGTGAACATTTATATTTTATACCATATTTTAACATCTTTATATGTACAGTATCTTTTTTATTCTATATTCAATTATATTATTAATTTTTAGATATTATGCATTTTGATATGTTTTCTCTTTTATTCTCTGATATGTTTTCTCTTTTATTTCTTCTTTTTTAATAAATATTTATTTATTTTGTATTTTATTCTTTACTATCCAGGTTCCTAGGCTATCCTTTTAATTATATCTATTCTAATGTATTATTCATTGTAATTAACTATATGATTCTTTATTTTATTGTGTGTATGGGGCTGTATACCCCTTTTTTCTTTGTTTTTGTTTTTCCTTTTTTAAGTTAATTTTGAGCGCATTTGGCTCTTTTGGACATGGAATGCCAGCGGCATTATAACGGAAGGACACTCTTTTTCCTCTACGACGTTCCCGATACGTCCTAATATGCGGCGAACCGGAAGTGAAGTCAGACGTCGGGACGTGATGACGCAGGACGCGTCCCGACGTCAAACCCGGAAGTAAAGTGCCGCGAATGTGGCGGAAAAGGGCGCGAGGAGCAGAGATATAAAACAGCATGCTTTGGATTACGAAAATTACCTCGGATGAAGGCTTATTGCCGAAACGCGTCAGGTGCTCTTTGGACTTGTTTCTTAAAGGGACTTTCTTTTGTATATGTAGTTTTTTATTTATAATAAATTTCATTAA